CTAGATTTGGAATCGTCCGGATGCGTCGAGATATGGAAGAGGCGATGACGAGGTCCTTGCCCGATACGGTCGCTCAACTCATCCGGGGCAGGGCTGACTGGGAGAGATCAAGCTTGGCACAGAATCCCCATAGCAAAGAGGCGCCTTCAGCCTTTCAAAAGACTTACACACACACACACAACATGCAACATGGGAAGCGGCAAACCCGGGTCACCATTTCAGCAAACGGGTCGAGCCCCGCTTTATCACGGTCCCAGGAGAAAAGTAGCAAAATAGGACCAGAACTACGCCAAGGAGCCTTCTGGCTCCCCTTGGGGAGCACCCACGGGCACGGGTCCCGTCTGCCCCGGCGCTCCCTCCTTTCGCCGAACAGGCTCCCTTCCCAGCCGGCGTTTTTCCCGCCACCAAGAGCGCGGCTATTCCAGCCCCCCCTCCCCCCTCACTCTCCTCCCAATACCATCACCCCCGGTCCAGGCTGCCCCTAGGAAAAAAAAGCGGCGGAGTAACCAGAAGAGAAAGGGAAGTGACCTCACAATGGGTCTTTCCCGCCCAATCATAAAGCCCCTGCTTTCGCCGCCCAATCCAAGCACATGCCCGCCAGACCGCAGCCAATGAGCGCGCGGCATTCCGGCGCTGGCAGGAGGGGTTTGTCTGGCCAGGAGGGAGGGGAGAGGTTCCCAAGAGCTCGGCAGTGGCGGCGGCTCCGCCTTCCTGTGGTCGGTGCGCGGCCTCGCGTCCCCTTCTTCCTCCTCCTCCCCGCCCGGCTGGCCCCTCTCTCTTCGGCAGCCATGGCGGTGGCAGCGGAGCAGGAACAGCAGCAGTTCTACCTCCTTCTCGGCAACCTGCTTAGTCCGGACAACGTCGTCCGCAAACAAGCCGAGGTGACTCGCGTACTCGCGTGGCTCTCTGTCCCCGTCCTCTCCCCTCCAGCCCCCGCCGCGCACGAGGTTTCGCTCCTGGCCTTTGCCTGTCAGCAGTGGCCGCCCTCCGCGTTGCGCAGGGCCTCCGCCGGGCCCACGTGCTCCGCGGCCAAGCCGGCGGCCGTTAACAGCCGTTGGCCGGGAACTAGAACACCGCTCGGGGAGGAGAGGCCAATTGCTCTCCCCTCCTCTTCGCTAAACTCCGGCCGAGTCTTCTCCTCCTTGCTGTTCTCTTTCGCCCATCCTCGACTCCGATCCCCGGTTCAAACGCTCCCTTCTCCCACCGACCCATCACGTGGAGGCTTTCTCTCCCTCGCCGATGGGGTCTCCGCTGGTCCGCTCGCCTTTCCCTCTTGCCCCGGAGCCGGCTTCTCTCCCGTTCGCTCCCCATTTTCTCTGCCTTTCCCCAGCTCCTGTTAGCGTCGCGGCCCCTTCCCTCTCCCCCCCATCTCAGCCCTGACCCTTCTGATTCGGACAACGACAACCTCCACCGACCCTTTAACAAATGCAGGAGGGGGACCCTTAAAGAGTCTCGCTTCTTCTTAAAGTGTCTCGGTTCCCGCCATCCCTTCCCGTTTGGGATGAATGAGAATGATACGTGGAAGAGCTAGGGTTGCAGTTGATGACTAATTAATTAGGGGTAGTAAGTTAAGTAATGCTTACAAAAGAGGGAAACTCCTCGGGTGGTAGGCCGCACAATTGATCTCTGTTTCTACGGTGCTTCTTCATACTGTTATTATTTGTATGCTGGGCTTGGAAACCATTCAGGAAGCGAGGAGTCAGAACTGGTCTGTTGGCTCGGTATTCTGGTACCATACTCACAGTAGAATGAGCATTGTGACTAAGTTCGTTTGCTGTAGAAGTTTCCAGTAAAAAAAAAAGCAGAGAAATATTTCAGCTTCCCAGAATATTCTGAGCTCAGGATGCTGGCCTTGAGTAAAGGAATTATGGAGATAGATTTCATCCAGAAACTAGCTGAACTGGAAATGATATAGAGGGGTAAAAAGGGTTGCTGTTTCCCACGAATTGGATTTGAAACCAGGATTTCTTTTCATAGTGCAGGAACATGCTATACCTAAT